GTGTTTGTGTCTGTGTGTGTGTCTGTGTGTGTGTCTGTCCGTGTGTGTGTCTGTGTGTGTCTGTGTGTGTGTCTGTGTGTGTGTCTGTGTGTGTCTGTGTCTGTCTGTGTTTGTGTTTGTGTCTGTGTGTGTGTCTGTGTCTGTCTGTGTGTGTGTTTGTGTGTGTGTCTGTGTGTGTCTGTGTCTGTCTGTGTTTGTGTCTGTGTGTGTGTCTGTGTGTGTGTCTGTCCTTGTGTGTGTCTGTGTGTGTCTGTGTCTGTCTGTGTGTGTGTCTGTGTGTGCGTCTGTGTGTGTCTGTGTCTGTCCGTGTGTGTGTCTGTGTGTGTGTCTGTGTGTGTGTCTGTCCGTGTGTGTGTCTGTGTGTGTCTGTGTCTGTCTGTGTGTGTGTCTGTGTGTCTGTGTCTGTCTGTGTTTGTGTCTGTGTGTGTGTCTGTGTGTGTCTGTTTGTCTGAGTGTCTGTGTCTGTCTGTGTGTGTGTCTGTGTGTGTGTCTGTGTGTGTGTCTGTCCGTGTGTGTGTCTGTGTGTGTCTGTGTCTGTCTGTGTGTGTGTCTGTGTCTGTCTGTGTTTGTGTCTGTGTGTGTGTCTGTGTGTGTCTGTTTGTCTGAGTGTCTGTGTGTGTCTGTTTGTCTGAGTGTCTGTGTGTGTCTGTTTGTGTCTGTGTCTGTGAACACATGAACAAAATATTAAATAACCTTTACTAGAGGTTCCTGCACACATTAATGTGTGTGTGTGTGTGTGTGTGTGTGTGTGTGTGTGTGTAGGTGGCAGAGAGTGTGATGACGGTTGCGTACGACAGTGGAGTAAACTTGTTCGACACCGCAGAGGTTTATGCCTCAGGGAGGTACAGTACAACTTGTCTGTCTCACCTGTCTGTCTGTCTCACTGTTCTGTCTCTCCCCTGTCTGTCTCACCTGTCTCACTCATGTGGACTGAAGTGTCTCTCTGTGTCTCAGGGCGGAGACGACTCTGGGAAACATCCTGAAGAAGAAAGGCTGGAGGTAAATCATCTGTTTCCTCTGAGCTGTGGACAGAGGGGACTGACAGAGGGGACGGACAGAGGGGACTGACAGAGGGGACGGACAGAGGGGACGGTCGAAGGGGACGGTCAGAGGGGACGGTCAGAGGGGACGGTCAGAGGGGACGGACAGAGGGGACGGACAGAGGGGACGGTCAGAGGGGACGGACAGAGGGGACGGTCGAAGGGGACTGACAGAGGGGACGGTCAGAGGGGACGGACAGAGGGGACTGACAGAGGGGACGGACAGAGGGGACGGACAGAGGGGACGGACAGAGGGGACGGACAGCTCCCGTCTGTCCACAGCTCAGTGTCTCTGATAACAGCCTTTAATAATAACCTGGACGTGGACCTGAAGACGTCCTCTGACTCAGTGACTGAAATAACTCTCTCTCTGTCTGTCTGTGTCTCTCTACCAGGAGGTCCAGTTATGTGGTGACCACTAAGATCTACTGGGGAGGACAGTGAGTGCTGAGACCTGATCAGACCCTGATCCAGATTCTGATCCAGATTCTGATCCGGACTCTGACCTGCCGCTCGTGTGGATCAGGAGTGAAACCAAAATAAATCACTTTCTGTTTTATTCTGAAATGAAATGAAACAGTGAAGAAGAAAGTGAAGCTGCTCGTCCCCTGACAGGAAGTGTTTGTTTGTGTGTTTACAGGGCGGAGACAGAGCGAGGGTTGTCACGGAAACACGTCATCGAAGGTAAACAACCTTTAGTGAGATGGTGGGGGGGTCTCATTAGTGTTAGATGTATTTATTATTTGATTGTATTGATTTGAGCTTGACAATTGATTGATTGATTGATTGATTGATTGATTGATTGATTGATTGATTGATTGATTGATTGATTGATTGATTGATTGATTGATTGGCTATTTGCTGGATTTTGTCTGATATAAAAACACATTTCTCTCTTCATGGTCTTCATGTGCCACTAACTCTTCTCCTGGTCCCGTGAGAAGCCAGAGATTAAACACACACACACACACACACACACACACACACACACACAGAGTCGGTCAGTGTCCTCTGTCAGTTGTTGAGGTCGTCGAGGCTTTAAGAAGCTCAGTCACACCAAGACTGGATTAGGAGTTATAACACACACACACACACACACACACACACACACACGCACACACACACACACACACACACACACACACACACACACACACACACAGCATCAATCAGCTGTCCTGCTGAAAGCTGCTAACAGCTCTGTTGACTTAAATCACTCTGTGAAATGTAAAACGCTAAATTTAACCACAAAGACTCATGAAGTCAGAGAGAATCACACACACACACACACACACACACACACACACACACACAGGAACCGAGCACGCTCAGACTGCAGTGGCAACATCTGCACTGCCCCACACATCTGTACACTGTCGCTTCATTAAATCCTCATTGACAGTGAACACAGTGGTTCAGATGTTTGGAGGCTGGGACGTCTCCACGTTATGTCCTAACAGTTAGCAGAGGTTACTGACTGTTTCGCTTGATGTCTGCTTGTCACTTTGTACATCAGCTCCTTGGAGTCTAATGCTGCGTTCAGGTGTTGCTCAGATGTTCCCACTCTCCGAGCTGTGACGTCGTTCTGCTGATGTCAGTGTGTTCATGTGATTTTAGGTCAGAATGTGGAAACAACACAGAGGCTGCATGTTCTGTATGGTATTAACCAGAGTTATTATCAGCCCGACTTCAGCCCGACATCAGCCAGACATCAGCCATATTATAGCCGTCAGTCATGTAGTGTGCGGTAGAGGACGTGGACTGAAGACACGTGGAACACAAAGACCAGCGAGTGTGAACTGTAAACCTGCAGGAGCCGTGTTGAACCTGTTCAACGTGTGTTTTTGACGTGTCCTGGAGACACACGGCTTTAGACTCCATGCTGTGTTTACATTGTTGTTGGTCCCTGGCACCTCCCCCTGATGACATCACACTGTGATGTGTAGTGTGTTATAACCCTAATCTATGACTCTGGGAATGTGGCGCAGAAACATGAAACAAACACTGTCTCCGTGTCTCTGTGTCCAGACAACACATGAAGTACAAGTGGATTCAGTCCAGTGGTTCAGACTGTGACTGTGTGTATTTAGTCTGAGTCATTCTGATCTTCATCACACACACACACACACACACACACACACACACACACACACACACACACACACTGTCTCTGTTTGTCCTTCACAAGGTCGACAAATCGTCTGACATCATCCCTGATGACAGAGCTGTCAGCGCTCTGTGGAAACACATCAGCACATAAAAGAGCTTGAAACGATCATTACACAACACAACAAACACACAACAAACACACAACAACACAACTACACACTGTAACTGCAGCCTCCTGTCAGCTGGTCAATCTGGTCACAGTGAAGACAGTGAGTCGTCGCAGCAGGAGTTTCTTCTCCTCACGTCGTTTTACTTTGAAAGGTTCAGGAAGTATTTGGTTTTAACATGTGAACTCCACCAGCGTGACCCAGGTGATTGACAGCTGCGGTTTGTGTTTTCAGGTGTTGTGTGTTTCGTCCTTGATGGCGGAAAATAAAACTGTTTTTCTAATGTGTGTGTGTGTGTGTGTGTGTGTGTGNGTGTGTGTGTGTGTGTGTGTGTGTGTGTGTGTGTGTGTGTATGTGTGTGTGTGTGTGTGTGTGTGTGTTGCAGGTCTGCGTGGATCTCTCTCCAGGTTACAGTTGGACTATGTTGACATTGTCTTCGCCAACAGGAGTGATGTCAACGCACCAATGGAGGGTCAGTACACACACACACACACACACACACACAGTGCCCATGATGTATTGACAGACTGGTTTAATAAAGTTTTCTGATTGAAAACATGAAGCAGTGGATCAGTGATTTATTGATCCTGATGTTTTCAGAGGTCGTCAGAGCCATGACCTTCGTGATTGATCAGGGTATGGCCATGTACTGGGGAACGTCACGCTGGAACGCTGTGGAGATCATGGTAGGACATAACACACAACTACAGTAGAACCTCTGGAGAACCTCAGGAGAACCTGAGAGCACCAGCATGAACTTTTCATACAGAGCAAGTCTAGACCGAAGTCTTTAAAATGTGAGCTGTCTGTCTCCNATAACGTGTGTATTGTGTATATTGTATTTATTGGTGTATATTGGTGTATTTTTGATGTATATTTCCATAGATGTTTATTTTCTGCTGTGGTGAGTGAATTTCCCAGTTGTGGGATTAATAAAGTTAATCTAAATCTAAAATTTAAATCTAAATCTCTCACCTGTCTGTCTCTCACCTGTCTGTCTCTCAGGAGGCCTACTCTATAGCGCGACAGTTTAACCTGGTTCCTCCGGTGTGTGAACAGGCGGAGTATCATTACTTCCAGAGAGACAAGGTGGAGCTGCACCTGCCTGAACTCTACCACAAGATCGGTACACACACACATACACACACAGATACACACACTGTATTAAAGTGCAGCTTGTGTTGATGCTGTGTGGGGATGGAGCTAGGCTAACAGTTTCCACCTGCTTCAGGTGTTTGTGCTAAGCTAAGCTAACGGGTCCAGGACTCACTGAGCTGAGACTGACGTCCTCAGAGAACAGGGGCTGATGAAATGTGACGCTGTGTCTTTAAGAGAACGGTGGACAGTGAGACCCAACTGAGGTCTCGGGGGGACGGCAGCTGTTCAGGTCCAGGTCTAAATATAGACCAGGTTAATGAAGTGGTTCAACATGAGGTCTGTGTGTCTCTCAGGTGTCGGAGCCATGACCTGGTCTCCGTTAGCCTGCGGTCTGCTGACGGGGAAGTACAACGAGGGCATCCCCAAGAGCTCCAGGGCCGCCATGAAGGTACACACACACACACACACACACACACACACACACACACACAGTAATGAGTTGCACAAACATCATCCATCTTCAACACACAGGCTGCAGGATCATGCACCATCTGTTACCGAGGTGATCAATACTGTGTGTGTGTGTGTGTGTGTGTGTGTGTGTGTGTGTGTGTGTGTGTGTGTGTATGTGCAGGGGTATGCGTGGCTGAAGGAGCGTCTCTGTTCTGATGAAGGGAAGAAGCAGCTCAGTAAAATCAAAGAGCTCCACCTGCTGGCCGACAGACTGACCTGCACCCCTGCTCAGCTGGCTATAGGTACACCTGTCTGTCTGTCTGTCTGTCTGCCTGTCTATCTTTCTGTCTGTCTGTCTGTCTCACACCTGTCTTTCTGTCTGTCTGTACACCTGTGTACACCTGTCTGTCTCACACCTGTTTGTCTGTCTCTCTCTCAGCCTGGTGTCTCCGCAGTGAGGGCGTCAGCTCGGTTCTCCTCGGAGTCTCCAACACAGAACAACTGCTGGAAAACCTTGGTTCTATCAGGGTGAGACCCCCCCCCCCCTCCTAAAGACACACACACACACACACACACACACACACAAACGAACATGTGATCATGAATATCCAATCAGATCTCTGGATTCGGTGGCCTCTGATTGGTAGAGGAAACAGAAGGTGAACGACGTTCTCTCTTTTCCGTCTCTCAGGTTCTGTCTCAGCTGACTCCACCCCTCATCACAGAGATGGATGCGTTGCTCGGCAACAAGCCGCGAAACGCTAAGAGGGAGGTGAGGAGCTGAGGAGGAGGAAACTGAAAACTTTATTGAAAATGATGATGAGAAGATGGAGATAAGGAGACAAGAGACAAATGAACGGAGGAAGGACGTGTGGGATGACAACAATATTTGTTCTCCCCCTGTTGTCCTCATCGTCATGGAGACGGGAAGATTTCTTCATCCAGCCAGAGACTTTAGCTCCTGAAAATAATCAGAAATATTTATTCTTATATTAACGCAGAGTTTCTCATCAGCTGAGCTCTTCTGATGCTGTTGTCATGGCAACAGAACATGTAGCCGCATCACAACAAAGTTTGTTTCAACTTTATCTGTGAATTGTTCATATATGCATGAAGACACATGAGCAAATCTTAACAGTATGAACATAAATATACAAACAATAATCTATAATCAATACAGTTCAAATACAAACTAGATCTTAGAGAAGAACAGAAGCAGGAATGATGACATCAGATGTTTTGATCTCAATGATTAATCGATTGATTTCAATTTAATTTGAGTTTTCACATGTGAGCAGAACCGTGTTAAAGTTGTGAGATGAGCGCACGCTGCTCGCCGACCATACGAAAGCTCGCTCATGCCAAGAAAAGAAAAAGCAACATGTCTCTAATTATAATCACAAAAATGAAAATTAAATCATGATGAGACACTTTTCTTTCTCAGTCATTAACTTTGTTTTCTCTCTTTCTTTCATCATTAAACTCTATGACACAAAATCAAAATCTTTTTAAAACTAGGAAACTCTGAGGTCAACATTCATGACGTATTTAAAATGTGTCTTGGTTTATTTTTATTTTTCAGGAGTTCAGTAGAAATAGTTTAGATTCTCAAACAGCTGAGAGCCAATAACGAACATCTGGAAGCTCATTCAGGAAAACGTATGCAAGATGAGGCAACAGGATTTAACATATTGGTGATGCAGTGACAAGAAAAAGTTTTGTTCTGTTTTGTTGTTTTGTTTTGTTGTTATGTTTTGTTTTTTTTGTCACACTATTTCACCAGTATGAAACTTTTGTCATAACATCACTGCTGTTACCAAGACAACTCATGTCAGTGTCAACTGCTGTAAGAATAACATGGCTGAGGCTCCTGTAAACCATGTGACAACACTGTGACAACACCATGGTAACAGGTGGTGCCATGGTAACAGCCTCTGTTATTCTGTCCGAGGCTCTGAACTCTCCTGTATACTCTGTACTGGATATACATATATGAGTATATTTACTATAAAATATGAATCTATATTTTATGAATGTAGACATGTAGTCTTTAGATAGAGAACAGGATTTTTAACTCAGTGGTGCTCAATCTGAGGGGTCGGGACGTTTCAGTGGTCGTCAGCTCCTCACACAAACCATGTCTTCAATATCAATATTTATCATGTGGGAAAAAGAAAATATATGTACTTTTACTGATGATCTCAAGATCATAGATAACAAATTACAATTCTAAATGAATCAAACATTTAAATAATTTACATTTAATTAAAATCAGAAAGGACATGGATCCAACATGTGATTTACACCTTTAGAAAACAGTTTTGCTAAATTTTGTATTTTCTCCAAATGTAACAATAAAACTAAAACTTCAGTTCGGAGACAAATCCAAATACTTTATGATCATTTATATTTGGTGTTCAATTAAAAACATTATGCAACAAAAAATAAGAGTAATTACAGACATATAACAATGAACAATAAACCATTGTTATTCTCTTGACAATGAGTTTATTATTATTTAAATTTATATAAGGATATATTCACAACAAATTTTATTTCAAATGATCCCTCTTTGAAGTCGTCAGTCATAACAGATGAATCTCTCTACCCTCCTTAATAATCATAAACCAAACTGTATGTCACAGTCATATGAACAGATACAGGTGCTGGATGTTTGGACCTGCTCAGGTTGAGGTCACTGATCACCTGATCAACTACCTCTGATGAGAACCAGTACTGTGCATGAAACCATGTGAATTTGACCATGCTGAAAGGCTGGTTGGTCACATGGTTTCATTATGTTTCCTGTGTCAGTATATAACCCTCTGTTTCTCCTGATGTAACCAAAACTACTGGAGAATGCTAATAAAGATATTTAAATCTGAATCTCCATGTCAGTGTCTTTGTCACCAACAAAGTAGTTGTTTGACTACAGAAATTAATATACTATTACTATATTATATTCTATACCTTACTATACCACGAGATTTTATTCCCCTAACAGGTGTGTGTAGGACCAAAATGCAGCACACAGTCTGTAGAGACATTTATTTCCAAAAAAGTACAAAGTGGAGCTCACAGGTTAATCCAAAACTATGACAAATCTTCCTGGAGGCTCCCAAGGCTCAGACCAAGAAGACGGGTTTGGGACGAACAGGTTTGGCAATGGGAAATGAGTCCAAGAAATGCTGGGGAGTCTTGCATTAAGAAAAGTGAAGAAAAATCTGGCAAAGAATAACTGGAAGGCTGGGGTTTGTATACTGGGCGAGTGTAATCAGGAGCAGTGTGTGACCAGGTGAATGGAGTTGGTTTGATGAGGTAGCATTGGCTAATGAAGTGAGGTGAAGGAGAAAAGGAGGAAAGAAAAATTACTAAATATGAAATGGAAAAGAGGGAATGCTGAAGAGAGGAAGGTGACTTGGAAGGCAGAACTGTGAGCATGCCATACTGTACCATGACCTTTTTATGCCTTATTATACCTTGATTTTTTATGCCTTACAATACTATGATATTTTATGCCTTACTATACTATGACTTTTTGTGCATCACTATACTATGACTTTTTGGACTTTTTATGCCTTACTATACTATGGCTTTTTATGCCATACTATACTATAACTTTTTATGCCATACTATACTATAACTTTTTATGCCTTCCTATACTATGATATTTTTTGGACTTTTTATGCCATACTATACTATGACTTTTTATGCCTTCCTATACTATGGCTTTTTATGCCATACTATACTATGACTTTTTATGCCTTACTATAGTATGACTTTTGGGACTTTTTATGCCATACTATACTATGACTTTTTATGTCTTACTATACTATGATATTTTTTGGACTTTTTATGCCATACTATACTATGGCTTTTTATGCCTTCCTATACTATGGCTTTTTATGCCATACTATACTATGACTTTTTATGCCTTACTATAGTATGACTTTTGGGACTTTTTATGCCATACTATACTATGACTTTTTATGTATCATTATACTATAACGTTTTCTGCCTTATCATACTATGACTTTTTTGGACATTTTATGCAATACTTTACTAAGACTTTTTATGCCTTACTATACTATGACATTTTTTGGAGTTTTTATGCCATACTATGCTATGACTTTTTATGTCATACTACACTATTACTTTTTATGCTATACTATACTATGACTTTTTGTGCATCACTATACTATGACTTTTTGGACTTTTTATGCCTTACTATACTATGACTTTTTATGCCATGCTATACTATGACTTTTTTTTCACTTTTATTCCATGCTATACTATGACTTTTTTTTTTACTTTTTATGCCTTACTATACTTTGACTTTTTAAAAACTTTTCATGCCTTACTATCCTATGACTTTTTTTTTTACTTTTTATGCCTTACTATGCTATGACTTTTTATGCCATGCTATACTATGACTTTTTATGGCTTACTATACTATGACTTTTTTAGGACGTTTTATGCCTTACTATACTATGACTTTTTAAAAACTTTTCATGCCTTACTATCCTATGACTTTTTTA